TCATGTGGATAATGTGGACTATGTGGGCTAAGCAAATATCACTTCCACCTTGAGATTGAGTTCTAGGTGAAGTTCGCTCTGGGCAAACTTCACTTGGAGCCTCATATAGGCTTGCTTCACATTGACTTAGGCTTGAGCGAAGTTCACATGAGACTTGAGTAAACTTCGCTGTGGTTTGGGCGAGTTTCTCTATGAGCTTGTATTTAAGCCATTTTGATTTGATTCAGTGCTTAGCCTTTCAGTGTCCACTTCTTGAGCTCGTGTTACTCTCGAACATTAGATTTGTGTTATTTACACTGAGTATCAATCTAGGCCTATCATGAATTGAGAGATTCACTTGTACATCAGAGGAGCTTGTATATTTTGACCGTTTACAAGACCCCCCTAAAGTTTTCAAGATCTTGCATTTGACTTGTAATAGGGATCAAAATACTTTGGGTAATAGCCAGAGGTGTACTATTGAATGTAGTTTCCATTGTTGTAGATTCATTTTTTGTTGAATGCTTAGTCACATTTGTATGTTCCCTCATAAAGAGTTCATCCGATTTTATGATTGGAAGGAAGCTTATTCTCCCTTGAATTAGGGCTAGATTTAGGAAATAGCTTATATCAAGCAAAGTTCGTCATGAATTTGGCGAAGTTTGTTTAATTCTGAGCATTGAGCGAGGTTCATTTGGAAATTAAAGAGGGTTGTAGAGACTGTTTCAAATTTCAAATCTTCTAAATTTGAGCCTTGATTTGTGGTGAGGATCACTCCTGAGCAAGATTGGGGGCCAAATTTTGGCAAGATTCAGTGAAAGCTCTCTTCCCTATCATCATATGTGCTTTCAAATCTCCAAAACCTTCTCAAGCTTTCAAAACCCTTCTTCACCAATAGCGCTCGACAACAACTCTCCAAGGGAAAACAAAGTGACACCTCTTCACATCGATCGAATCTTGTTCTCGCATTGCCACGGCTCAAGATGGCTTCAGTTGGGTTTTGCTTCCTATTATCTAGGTTTCATCATTAATGGTAAAGCTCTCGGTCGCTATTAATGGCTCCCTTGAGCTCGAATGGTGCTTCAAAGTAGCCTAAGCTATTTTCACTGCTGATGGTGAGGGTGTTTCCATCGCGATCAATGGCATTGTCTAAGAGAACTTTGCTCTTTTGACAAAGTTCGATGTTTATCCTTTGGGGCTTGTGGGAGAACTTCACCGTTGAGTTGAAGTTAGCTAGTTGGACTATTTCAGGTATGGCCTTGTGAACTAAAAAGGATGTTGTCATTTTGTTTTGATTAATACTTAATCTATTTCCTCTACATCGAGTCTGAGCTAGGAGTCGATGTGATCATGACTTCTGAGTCTATGCCTGCCATCAAGCCTATGTTGCCTATTGAAGGCTTTAACGCTATACAAGCTAACCGGGGATACAACAACTTTGGAATTCTGCAAGGAGGTTGAAGCGAGGA